GAAGCAACGTCCTCCACAACTAGACTGAAGAACAAAACGACAGCAACTTGTCTGTTCCCCTTCCCCCAAGTCCCCAGCCCTGTTCCCATGCCCCAATTCCCTAATAAAAATCTTTAAAAAAAAGATAAAAAGAAAGGCTTCTGGGATGCTGATAATGTTGTTTCTTGATCTGGGTACTGATCATATGCGTTTGTTTAGTGAGTGAAAATTCATTGAACTGCATTCTTATAATATGTGCACTTTTCTCTATGTATACTACATTTCAAAAAGAGATTTTAAAAAATATAATGATCTTTGTATTTTAAATACCTTAGTGCTTGAATGTGTCTTCTCATTGGCTCAAAGTTACCCAGATAGTTTCTAAGACTACCCTAATTCATACCCCAGCACTTAGCTGCCTGCCCTTGCTTTTCCATTGACACTGGGCGCCAGCTGGAGCTGGAAATTCAGTTAGAAAACTTAGTTGACCAGAGTGGGAAAGACTGGGAAGGAAGAAAAAAGGGAGGATGAATGTATGTGAGTGCAGGTGTGAGGGAAAACTTGTCTACTTGTAGGTATATACTAAAAGAACCCCCCATCCATATTCTCAGGAGTTCACAAAGATTGATAAATGAAGCATTTCTCTTTAATTAAATTTTATTTTTTTTTAAAAAGCGTAATAGAATCTCTAGAAGTAACAGTTCATAAAAGTTAAAATAATTCATGAATTGTAAATGTATTCATTCATTTGCAAATTAAGGGCTGTAAATAAGTGATAGTTTAAATATAGTAACTTTTTATATCCTATTTTTTCTTTCCTTAGATACCTATAGTCAAAAACCACAAATTGCTTAGCAAAGTGTCTTTTAATTTCTAAATATCTATCTAGATTGATTGCATATGGATTACTGAGAATTTAATTAATGAAGTTTGTCATAAGAAATGTTTTTATAAGTTACTTTTATTTTTTTAAGGTGGTATGTTGTTTTGTTACGATGTTTCAATGTATCAGAGTAAAGATGGCAAACCATTGAATCGACTGATGGCCAGTAGAGGGCGAAGTTTCAAGCAGACCTCACTTGCTCTAGTGCATGAGGTAGGTGCCTTCCCATAACTAACCAGGTGTTATTACTTGTTTATGTTTTGGGGTTTTCCTCCTTCATTTTATGCTCATGAAATTTAGTGTGTATTGGGAAATAACTTTTCTCTTTATCATAATTAATGTAAGTTGTTTTTAATGGCAACCGAAATAGCTGACCCAACTGAATACTAAAATACGTACTTGGATATATTTCTGAGAGAAATGGGCATATTCTCCCTGCTGCTCAGCCTAATATTTGGGAATAGTATCTACTCCCAAATGTTTAACTTCCATGTTTAATTTCCACTATTCAGAATAAATACCAACTTCTTATTTACAGAAATAATGTTGCCCATTTCTTAATTCTAATAATTTACAAGCATGTAAGGCACCAGTATTTATATTTTGTGAATGTTGTAAACTAACAGTAAATAAAATTGTTTTGAAAAGAAAAAAAAGCCTTTCAGTTTTAGTGTTTATTTTACTTTTCTCTTAAGTGCCCCTTTTTAAAATGAAGTTATGTGATGCCATTAGATGATTTGCATGAAATCTGATAACTGCAGATTTTAGCAATACCAGAGAGAAGAGGGAAGCTGGAAAGTATTAGGGAAATGTGGGTTTTTGTTGTTGTTTTTAAATTTTTTATGATAGTTATTCAGGTGTATATAAAATATATGATTGAATAACAAAATAACATCACAGCAAAGAAGTTTATTTTATATAATTTAGATATAACATATAACAGTTATAAATTAAAATATATAAATTGTAAAAGATGTAATGGATTTGAAGTAAAACCAGTTAGGGCTTCTGTACGATCTTTGTATTAAATCTTATATTGATGCATAATTTATAAATGTTGGTAACACTAATTCAGTTCGGTTATATTCTGTATCATGCCAATTACCACCAGTTGGCATAACCGGTTTTTAAAGACCCATCTTTAGCTTATGCCACCCATGTTCCTCTCATAAATTTAATTAGAGTTGAAATTATGTAAATATATGGTTCAGAACCTTTTTTGTCTAATACAGTAGTGTCATTTAACTAAGGAGGGAAGAAAGATCTGGGAAGAGCAGTGTTTCTATGGGAAGAAGAGAGGTTTAATTTCATGAAAAGGGGGAAAAGCATAGGTGATTTCTATATTTGTTTTCCCTAGCATCTTACCATTTGGTGTAGAGAAAGAAGTGATTTGGGACTTTTTTGTGCTTTTAAGCTGTGTACTTAGGTATTTGAAGGACAACCAAAGTGTTAAGTATTACTGGAAAGCTGATTTTAAAAGTCACCATCAGAACAGAAACGAGAAAAAATGTTAATGTGAGGGATAGCAGAAGACACCTAATAAATTCAGCAAATGGTGTCAAAAGTGATGAGGTGTGCTGTAGATATGAACAGAGAACACCATATTTGGCTTAAGATACTTGTTGCTTGTATTGTAGAATGCCTAGAAAATTTCAAAGGGATGAGAAAACAAGATCATTATGTTAGGCGTCAACTAAAAGACATCTATAGGACAGAATTCTGCCAAAACTATGGTAGGATTTTAGTTTGGATTCATCTTCTGCCTACTATAATTCATTTTAAAAAAGGGCAGAGATAGAGAATGAGCCATCCCAGTTGCTCAAACTATGTGACAACAAATAAGAGTTTTAAGAGCTGGTTAATAAGAATAACAATTGCAATAATAATAGCTAATAACCAGCTCAGGCACTTTGAAAATTGCTGTACATATATTAATTCATTTAATCTCTACATTAACACTGTGAGGTTGGTACTGCTAATGTGCTGGAAATCACAGAGCTAGTAAGTAGAGAAGCCTGGAAATTGAACCCAGGCAGTATCACTCCCAGTCCTTCAACTATCTTATATCATCACGGGCTAAGCAGCGAACATTTTAAAAATACCTTTGGATCTTTCCCAGATGACTCTAGTATTTCCTAATTCTTTTCCTTGCTTCTAGTCTTTTTATTGTTGCAGTCCATTTGGTATTTTTCCTACTGAAGTTTGTTCAAACTCTCATTTGGTTCCCATCTACTTTATTCTGAGTCTTTTTATTTAAACAAACAAAAACTGTCATGGAAGTTTCAGTTTATTAATTCACCCACTGATGGATCTTTGGGTAGTTACCAGTTTTTGGCAACTATGACTAAAGCTGTTAGAGATTGCTAAGTCATATGGTAAGTAAATATAAGAAACCACCAAACTGTTCTCCTAGGGACTGTCCCATTTTGAATGCTCACCAGCAATGTAAGGGAGTTCCAGTTACTCTGCCTCCTTACCAGTGCTCAGTGTGGTCAGTTTTTTAAAATTTAGCCATTCTCATACGTGGATAGTGGTTTCCCTTTTGTGTTTCGTTAATGCCTGTTAACGTTGAGCATCTTTTCATGTATTTATTTGCCATTCATATCTTCCATGAGGTGTCTTGATCATTTGCCCATTTTTAAATCAGGTTTTTGGTTTTAAATAATATTGTATATTCTGGATATGAATTGTTTATTAGAAATGTGTTTTGCACATGTTTTTACCTAATCTGTAGCTTGTCTTTTGGTTTGCTTAACAGTGTCTTTGGATGAGTAGATTTTTAGTTTTAAGAGCTTCACTTTATTACGTTTTTCTTTTTATGGTTCTTGCTTTTTGTCTAACCCAAAGTCTCAAAGACTTTTCTTTTTTCTCCTATATTTTGTCTTTATTTTTAAAAAATTGAAGTATAATCCATATACCATTAAATTTTCCCATGTAAAGTGTGCAATTCAGTGGTTTCAGTATTAATATACTTAGAGTTGTGTAATTATCACCACAATCCATTTTAGAATATTTTCATCATACCGGAAAGAAACTGTACCTGTTAGTAGTCACTCTCCATTTTCCTCACTCCCCAGACTCTAGCAACCACTATTTCCACTTTTCGTTTCTATAGATCTGCCTATTTTGGACATTTCATGTAAATGGAATCATACAATATGTGGGCTTTTTTCACTTAGTATAATGTTTTCAAGGTTTATATATACTGTTGCATGTATCAGTACTTCATTTCTTTTCATGGCTGAATAATATTCCATTATATGAATATACCATAGATAGTTTGTTCATTAAGCACTTGATGGATCGCCTATATTTTCTTGTGGAAATTTATAATTTAAGGTTTACATTTTAGCCTATGATCTAGTTGAGTTAATTTTCATAAGGTATGAGTTATGTTTGTTGAATATGCTGTCCTTTCTCCATTTAGACACCTTTGTTAAAAATATTTGTCCATATACAGAGGGTGCCAAAAAAATGTATACACATTTTAAGAAAGGAAAAAGCTGTATTAAAATTGTAATACTTAATGTATACTGATAACAAAAGATGAATACAAGTCACATTTGACTTCAATTGACAGTTACAAGAGGTGCACAAAGTGTTTATCATCAGTGTCCAGACACTTCTGATTACAGTGAACCTTGTTTGGTAGACTTCTGTGGCAAGTGTGTAAGCTGTTCCAACACCTAGCAGAAGAAGCAAGACTTGTTGCTGTGCGAGGCCTCCTGGATCTTCCTTTGTGCACATAACACACAGTACCATGCGTCTCAAACTTATCACGAATGCATGCAATTGTTAGGCGTGTTGGAGGTTCTAATGCATACTCCTCCATTGTCGTTGTACTTCCACAACGTTCTCGAATTTCAAACACCACTTCAAAACGGTCTTGCTCTTCTCGAACAACAACCATGCTTCCGCCGTTTTCTTTGACTGCCCTGCCTGTCACATGATGAAGCTATGACACTAGCGTTCATTTGATTAACATCATCTTTTGAGCGAACGTCATACTACACATTGCTACCACAATTCAATTCAACTTCAAAAAGTAATACGTAGATAACATCTCTTAAAATGTGTATGCAATTTTTTTGTCACCCCCGGTATGTGTTGGTCTATTTCTGTACTCAGTTTTATTTCATTGATCTATGTGTGTATACTTTCATCCCAACCACACAACTTAATTACAGTTGCTTTATAATAAATCTTGAAATCAAGTAATACGAGTCTTCCAATTTTGTTTTGTTTTTAAATTTGGCTATCTTAAACTGTTTGCTTTTCCACATAAGTTTTAAATCAGCTTTGAGAAACCACAAAAAAGCCTGCTGTAATTTTGATTGGAAATGCACTGAATCTGTAGGTCAATTAGGGAGAAAACTGACATCTTAACAATAGTGAGTTTTTTAACCAAAGATATATGTATTTTTCCATTATTTTAGCTCAATATTTTGTTGTTACTACAAACCATGCACGTGTTTTGCTTAATTTCATAAGTATTGCACATCCCTAAGTATTTTGATGCTGATGCAATTACAAGGTTTTTTCTTTTTTGGTCATGTGTAGGTTCAGTGCTTGGTATTATTGGCACATAGTAGACACTTTATAAATGTTAGTTGAATTAATGATTTTAATCTTCATGAAACTTGATGTGTCTTATACTTCATATGTGCATTTAGTGGAATAGTTTCCTTCTCCCGGAAATGTTATTAAATTGGTAATAATCTAACAGTTGTTGAGGTCTTACTAAGAAATGACATTATTGTCATTTGAACAAGCTCTTGTGTACTGATTGGTGTTGTTATTCATTTATTTGCTTTAGCCGCCCCTCCCCGCCAAAGATCACATATCCCTTTAGGATATTCTATAGCCTTCTTAATGCCCTCAGCTATGGGTAGGTGAGTGAGTAATTGATACGCAAAAGAATTCTGTTTGGAATGTCCAAGTACAATGCTTTTCATATTTTGAAGTGTATTTTGCTATATGGAGAACTAGTTATTTAATGTAATCTGTGATGAATTCTTTTAGAAAATGTTACATACCCTTTTTGAAAAAATTCTTATTTTCACTGACTTTCCATGTTACTTTTGGAAGATTCACAGATCTAAATCTGACTTGGGTTTGATCTGACATGCCAGGAACAGTTCTGTATACAGTTGTCTCTTCTTATCCACAAGGGATAAGTCCCAAAACCCCCCAGTGCATGCCCGAAACCACAG